TGTTTTTTAGACAAGTTTGAAGTTTTCTTTTCTTCGAGCGCTCAATCAAGTTTTTAAACTTAAAACTTAGTTTTTTAAAGAATTTTAAAACTATTAGCCTTTTTCGAGTGATTTAGCACATTTTTCAGTCTGAAATGAAATTACCTCTCAAAATTTTCGCAAAAATAGGTCAAAATATCACTAAATTGCTTAAAACCGGTTCTTAAAAACAAATAAAACATGAAAAACTTGTTTTTTAAACAAGCTTGAAAATGTTTGGCTAAAATTTAAACCGGTTTTCTAATTATTGTTCATTTATTTTTATGTTTTAACTATTTTTTTTTAAATATTAACGTTTTCCGATTTACACGTTGATCTAAAATAACTTAAAAAAGTTTGTGAACAAAACACAAGATTTAAATCAAATTGGAGTATTATGAAATAAATAATTTAAGCTTTGTAAATTATATTTAAATTATTTTTCACCTATTGTTTTTATTTTTTCAAAATGAGACTTTTACACTTTTTTGTTATTAATTTCAATCCAAACGTTGATCTCTTCTCGAATATAATCCCAACGGGGAGAAATGGAGCGTTTTTGCATCAGAATTTCCGTCTAAAATAGCGGTAATCATATTATTTTAAGTGCACTTTACTCCAACTTCCTTTTACCTACTTTTTATTACCAGCGACATGGTCGTCCTTCTTTTTGTCATTTAATTAATGCCATTATAGTCTCTCGTTACACAGACGACGATTTTATAGTTTAAATTTCTACTAAATAGCTTAGTTTATATACAGGGTGAACCACTAATCCAGCACCGGAGAATACCAATTTTATTAGTCAAAGTACGAATCTAATAAGAATTATGTAGAAATTGTTCAAAGTTAGTTAGAGAAAAAGTTATTTTGTATTTACGAATTAATGAAATTTCATCGGTTGCAGTTCCGCCAAAATTACAAAGCTTATCTCCCTACACACCCCCTATATCGGCTACATTCTTGATGTTTACACTATACACTTTTGATTTATTGCCTCCGTCACACATAATGGCATCCCGCGCGTGAGGGGGTGGTTAATTTCAACCCTCGTCATCATCATCGTGTTTTATTTTTAACTTGCTTTGTAATAATTAGAATTTATTAATGCTCCAGCAATTTATCATTTATTACTCAAATAAAATTTTAATTAAAAAAAAAACACTCACCAATTGTGGTGATAACCGTGAGTGAATATAGAAAAGCACCAGCAAACGACCACTTGTCGGAGTAGTTCTCTCCGTCGTATCCACGTTGGATAAACTTGACCATTCTTTTCTGGTAGATTAGGAGTTCTTCTAATAGAAGTTTCTTATAATCCGCTTCGGCAAAAGTGTTCATTTCTAGAGTCTTGTTCCAAAACTTCGATACGGTCTCGTTGCGGATTCGAAGCACGTCGAGCCTCACTTGCATCTGGTACTTCTTTTCGACGAAGCGGAATATGAATGCGCCGGCGATCGTGTAGCTGACCTAAAATAAAACTTTTCTCTTATTACTATCTACAAAGCAACAAAATTTCTTACTAAAAACAAACAAAAACAAAATGTATACTTTACAGACTTTCTTGTCAACTTTACAAACGATTCCAATTAATGACATATTGTATAGAAAAGTGCTACTTTACGGAGTCTTTTTATTATCGTAATTTTTTCTTTATTACTATCTAAAGCAACAAAATTTCTTACTAAAAAGAAACAAGAACAAAATTAAACAAACAACTGTAGACTTTACAGACTCTTTTGTCAACTTTACAAACCATTTCAATTAATGACATATTGTCCAGAAAAGTGCTACTTTACGGACTTTTTTAGTATCGTAACATTTTTTTCTTTATTACTATCTTCAAAGCAACAATTTTTTTACTAAAAAAAAGCAAAACCAGTACTATACAAAATGTATTCTTTACAAACTCTCTTGTCAACTCTACAAACAATACCAATTAATGACATATTGTCCAGAAAAGCGCTACTTTACGGACTTTTTTTATAATCGTAACTTTTTTTCTTTATTACTATCTACAAAACAACAATTTTTTACTAAAACAGCAGAACTAGTATTATACAAAATGTATACTTTACAAACGATTCCAATTAATGACATATTGTCCAGAAAAGCGCTACTTTACGGACTTTTTTTATTATCGTAACTTTTTTTCTTTATTACTATCTACAAAACAACAATTTTTTACTAAAAAAGCAGAACTAGTATTATACAAAATGTATACTTTACAAACGATTCCAATTAATGACATATTGTTCAGAAAAGTGCTACTTTACGGAGTCTTTTTATTATTGTAACTTTTTCTTTATTATTATCTAAAGCAACAAAATTTCTTACTAAAAAGAAACAAGAACAAAATTATACATACTGTAGACTTTACAGACTCTTTTGTCAACTTTACAAACCATTTCAATTAATGACATATTGTCCAGAAAAGCGCTACTTTACGGACTTTTTTTATTATCGTAACTATTTTTCTTTATTACTATCTACAAAACAACATTTTTTTTACTAAAAAAAGCAGAACTAGTATTACACAAAATGTATACTCTACAAGCTCTCTTGTCAACTTTACAAACGATTCCAATTAATGACATATTGTCCAGAAAAGCGCTACTATTGTAACTTTTTCTTTATTATTATCTAAAGCAACAAAATTTCTTACTAAAAAGAAACAAGAACAAAATTATACATACTGTAGACTTTACAGACTCTTTTGTCAACTTTACAAACCATTTCAATTAATGACATATTGTCCAGAAAAGCGCTACTTTACGGACTTTTTTTATTATCGTAACTATTTTTCTTTATTACTATCTACAAAACAACATTTTTTTTACTAAAAAAAGCAGAACTAGTATTACACAAAATGTATACTCTACAAGCTCTCTTGTCAACTTTACAAACGATTCCAATTAATGACATATTGTCCAGAAAAGCGCTACTTTACGGACTTTTTTTATTATCGTAACTTTTTTTGTTTATTACTATCTACAAAGCAACAATTTTTTTCCTAAAAAAAAGCAGAACTAGTATTATACAAAATGTATACTTTTCAAACTCTCTTCTCAACTTTATAAACGATTCCAATTAATGACATATTGTCCATAAAAGTGCTACTTTACGGACTTTTTATTATCGTTACTTTTTTTTCTTTATTACTATCTACAAAGCAACAATTTTTGTACTAAAAAAAGCAAAATCAGTATTATACAGAAAAGTGCTACTTTATGGAGTCTTTCTATTATCGTAACTTTTCCTTTATTTCTATCTAAAGCAACATTTTTTTTTCTACTCGTAAGAATAAACAAAAACAAAATTATACAAACTGTATACTTTACAGACTCTCTTGTCAACTTTACAAACGATTCAACTTTACGTATCGTACCTTTTCTTTATTACAAAGCAACAATTTTTTTACTAAAAAGAAGCAAAATCAATATTATATAAAATGTACATTTTAGTCTTTCTTGTCAACAACTTTAAGAACTATTTTGTTAACTTTACAGACGATTCCAATTAATTACATATTTGTCCAGAAAAGTGCTAGTTTACGGACTCTTTTTATTACCGTGTAGTTAACCTAAAATGTAACTTGTCTTTTATTACTCTCTACAAAGTCGCAAAAATTTTTTACTAAAATAAGTAAAACCAATATTATACAAAATACATGCTTTACAGATTGTTTTGTCACCTTTACAAACGTTTCTATTAATAACATAATTGTCCGGGAAAATGCTACTTTGCAGACTCTCTTGTGTTATTGATTTCTATTATTTTACAGTAGTTAAATTGATTGAAAAACTAAATTTTTTGTAATAAAAAATCAATATTTTAGATTTAATTATTATAATTAGTGAGTTGTTAACTTCGACAGGTTTAAATAGAACAACGTCTATTTTGTAAAATTTGAAAATGCAGTTTCAATGTACCTACTTTTAGTAGGTGCTTTTAAAAAATTTGCTTGTTTAAAATCTAATTTTTTACTAAACAACAAAAAATTTTTATTAATGAAATATTTGTCAAAAAAGTGCTATTTTACGAACTCTCTTGTCAATTTTACGGACTGCTTTGTCAACTTTACAAAGAATTTTTATTAATAACATGTTTGTCCGGAAAAGTGTTACTTTATGGACTCTTTTGTATTAGAGATTTTTTACAGTAGTTAATTTAATTGAAGAAAAAAAAATGTTTTAAAAAAGTCAATGTTTTAGTTTTATTTATTAGTGAGCTATTATAACCTTAACAGGTTTAAACGGAACAGCCTCTACAAAAAATTGTTAAACATTTAAGGAGGTAATAGTATGAACCAAAATAAACAAAAAATTTGTACTAGAAGCTCTTCTTTTTTGTTTGAACAGATTGCAAAAAATGAATAATTTTTAATATCTCCGAAACCGTTACTTTGCTGACCTATGTTTATTATTAAGACTTTTTGTTTGTTTTGGTCCATACTATTACTTCCTGAAATGTTTTACATTTTTTTAACACCCTGTATATTGTAGAATTTAAAATTACAGTTTCAATGTATACTTTTAATAACTTTGCTTGTTTAAAATCAATTTTTTTTACTAAACATTTTTTTTTTGTTAAAAAGAAGCAAAACCAATATTTTACAAAATGTTTTCTTTATGGACTTGTCAACATAACTATTTTGTCAACTTTACAAATATTTTCAATTAATAACATATTTTTGGATTATTAATTTTGTACAGTAGTTAACTTGAACTAAATTTTCGTGTAATAAAAAAATAATGTTTTGGGTTTATTAACCTCGACAGGTTTAAACCGGACAGCCTGTATATTGTAGAAATAATATATTTTTTATAGATTTGTTTGTTCAAAATCTAAATTAACTCGAAATGATTTTCATAAAGTGCAAGAAAAGCAATAAATATTTTATTAGAATTTAATTAAAACTGAAATTTAATTTAACATTTAAATTAAACGTGAATTTTCCATTTCAAATCATTTGCTTATTCAAATAGACTTTACATCAAAAGCAGCTTTAAAAATTATAAACAGTTTTTGAATTAATAAAAAAACCTAGCCTCGTCCAATATTTGTAGTCCATTTTGTAAAGCAATTAAAATTTTAACCTTTATGCTCAAACTAATTAATTTTGTTTTAGAACTGTTTGTGTTTGTCTGTGTTACTTTAGACACTCTTTTAATTTTTTAATGGTGTCGCAACTGTCACTTTTTGAACACACCCGGATTCCGACAAATCTAGTAAGCGTCACAATTTGAAGAGGGTCTTGGAAAAAATACTCACCACAAGTCCTATGATTCCGACATTACTAAACAGAAAAGCGATAAATTGTCTGCATAAATCTTTGCACTTTTTTGCGAAAGGTCTCTCATATCTTCGCTGTCTCCTGACAGACCTCTTGCGTTCCATTTTACACACTTCCGGTCATAGTTCGCTTCTGTCATTTCAAGCGCTCGCTTGCCGCCATCCTGTCGAAAAGAAAACCCATTTCATGGCACGTCACTGGATAAACAATACAGATTAAATGTAAATAGTTGCACAAGCGGAAGCTCCATCATTTGAATAATGAGACGATTGCCGTATTTGTTTGACTGTCAAAAGTTAAATTCTACAATATATCAGCATTCAATTCAATTTCTAATCGCAGCAGTCTATAACTCTAAAATTAAGTTTGCAACACTGAATAAAAATGACTACAAATAAAATATATTGGATTTGCAATTACTTCAATTAAATCAAAGTGAGCCGCGATTTTATAATTAAGTTGGGAACGCTGAATAATTTAGAGACATGACACTAATAAAACACAGAATATATAAAAATTGACACATCTTATATGTCCTGCCTCTAATTTTCAATCTAAATCACAATAAAATAAAACAATTTTAAAATTAAATTGACAACATTGAATAATTTAGAGACAAGGCACTAGTAAAACACAGAATATAGTACAGGGTGTTCCGTCTAAACCCCACTTTAGAAGTATTGGGAGTTTGAATAATCGTATTTATTGGTACATAACCATAAACCATTAAGTCCTCTTAAATGAAAATATTTTCAAGATGGCGGCACTTCTGCTTATACCGGAAGTCGGTCTCAACTTTCTTATTTTAAATGGAAAGATATATTTTTCACTGCGTTTTTGGATTAATCGGGTTATTTTAAGAGAGTTTTCATCAGCTTTCCTTATACCTAAATGTAGCCGTTTTTGAAATATTTGGAGTTTTTAAAAAAATTTTGGATCTGCACCTTCCACTTTAAAAATCGGTAACTCTGCCATTTTTTAATATGTTGAATTGTTGAATTCGTTTTTTTGGCGTTGGAAAGAGAAAGCTTAGATCCTTTTTCTGGTGTTTTCAAATTTTGAATAAAAAAATTATATTTCCCAAAATTTTAAGGTTACTTTTGTAATAATTCAAATACTCATAACTCATTTTTTTCAAAAGGAATACCCGAATTTTTATTTTACTAAATAGAAGATAATTTAATTGTGCATTGATCTGTATTACATTTTCTATACCTAAATCTAATAATTTTCAAGTTATGGACTTTTTTTTAAGACTACAGAAAATTTATCGTTTACCGTTTTCTATAGAAGTCAAAAATGTCAAAATTTTTCCTAAACAAACATCAACAGTAAATTACTATTTGACAAATAGTGCCAAAGTATGAAGAATAAAGTTATGCAAAATTAATTATTATTGATAGGTTCTACCATGCAATCATTATTTAAAGCTAGCAAGTGAGAAAAAAAATGTTTTGTTTAATGAACGACATCATAATTTTGTTACACTTTCCATAAATACAAAAAAATAAAAATAAATTAATTAAATCTAAGTTTGAGTAGCTTTGACTCTCCATATTTTGGCACTATTTGTGAAATAATAATTCACTGTCGACGTTTATTGAGAAACAATTTTAACATTTTTGATTTCCATAGCAAACTATATGAAAACGTAATGGATTTTCGACAGTCTTAACAAAAAGTCACCATAATTTAAAAATTATTAAATTTAGGTATAAGGAATGTTAATACAGATCGATGCAGAATTAAAGTCTCTTCCATTTAGTAAAATAAAAATTTGGGTATTTTATTTGGAAAAATTTACCTATGGGTATTTGAATTATTAAAAATATAAACTTTCTCTTTCAAACGCCAAAAAAAACGAATTCAAAATTTTAAAAAACAGTAGAGTTACCGATTTTTAAAACGGAAGGTGCAGATCCAAAAATTTTTGGAAAACTCCAAATATTTCAAAAACGGCTAAATTTAGGTATAGGGAAAACTGATAAAAACTCCCTTAAAATAACCCGATTAATCCAAAAACGCAGTAAAAAACATAGTTTTCCATTTAAAATAAGAAAGTTGAGACCGACTTCCGGTATAACCAGAAGTGCCACCATCTTGAGAATATTTTCATTTAGGAGGACTTAATTCATTATGGCTATGTACCAATTTTCAAACAAATATGTTTATTCGAACTCCCAATACGTTTAATGTGGGGTTTAGACGGAACAGCCTCTATAGCAAATTGCCACGTCTTATATTTCCTGCTTTTAAATTATTCTTTTGCCCACTAATTGCAAAATTAGAGGTACCATAAATCGCAAATTTAATAAACAATTGCAAATTAAATTGGCAACATTGAGTAATTTAGAGACATGAAATAAATCATAATAATTATAATTATAAATTAGAACTAGATTTAAAAAATAAAAGTGGCAATATTGAGCAATTTGACAATAGAAAATAAAATGTCTTCAATTAATGCTTGTGGTAAGCTGTAATTGTAAAATTCAGTTTCTAATACTAATAAAACACAAACAGAATTTACAAAAAATGACAGGTTTTTTATTTCTTGTCTGAGTTATTCAAAGTTGCCAACTTATTGCAAAATCACAGATTACTTAAAATTTATTACTAAATTGGCAACATTAATTAATTTAGAGACATGAGATACCTAACATTGTAATTTATTTAGATTTCTCGTAAATCTAAACTAAAGTTTTAAAATAAAAGTACTTAAACTTCTGACTATTATAATAAGCTAAGCTGTAGTAAGTTTTTAAGGGAGACAAAACATGAAAATTGAGACATTTTATACCTCCCACCTCTAAATTATTTGATGTTACCAACTTAATTAACAAAAGGCAACAATTTTATCATTAAACTGGCAACATTAAATACTTTTCTGTGACTCTGTGATTCTAAAATTAAGTTTGTAACACTGAATAAAATAAGACAGAAATGTCTTAAACTACTTAACAAGTGATTTAATTCTTTAAGTGAATTTGCTGCTAGCTACTAGATGCATTAAATTAAGTGCATTAGAAATTAAATTCGAGCGTTTTAACGAAAATTGCGATAACCCAAGTTTGATGACTCGAACAATTAAAACTTTTCAACAAGATTCGTTACAAACTAAAACTAGTAATAGAAATTACATTTAGCTCTTGGCACTTTCCCTTTAATATAAATACATTTTACCATTTTGAAAGAATGTTTCTATTCGAGTTTGATCAAAGTTTCTCAATTATAGTAACTGCTGATACTTTAGACCGGAAATAAGTGGCTTTTTGCCGTACTAATATTTAAGAGTTTATAAAAAGGGCACAACAATATAACTGCAGTAAAATTTAAACGGCAATAAAATTCGAACTTTTCTGCACAGGGATATAAAATTTCAGCGAATCAAAGCCTAAATCGACTCGTAAATTAAGCATATCTACTAAATTATCTCCAAAGGGTTTAAAGATGGAAAAGAGTTTATTATTATTATGTTTTAAAAAATAAATGTGACAAAGCCACAAAAACTTTTCTCGAACTATTTTGTAAAGAGAATCCGCTACCAGAAACAGATTTATCTTGAAACTTTAGTTTCAAACACTCTAAAATTGTGTTTTTCAAGTCTACATTTGGTCGATATATTGAATAAACGTCGCCAAGTAATTGATGTATTGTTCTAGATTTGCTATTTTGAATTGTGTACTAGTTTAAGTGAGTAATATGAGCACTTTGAATGAAAACAGCTCGCATATTGCGATATACATCAACAAAGCAGATTAGTTAGTGCTCATTGTTGACTCATATATTTATCGTAAACACAAGTCATTGCTGCTCAATTTTAGTTTATGTTAAGTAGGTATTAGCTGAGTCATTCTGTATGATAAATTATTATCAAATAACAACAGTGTTGCCAGGTCTGGTAAAATTTTACCAGATCTGGTGATTTTTCTACTAGTTTAATGATTTGGTGAAAACTTTTGTAAAAATTTTAATTTCTGATGATTTTTTAGAAACGTGACTTGAATTTTTTTTTTCGAGTAAATCAAGTATTTGCCTAAATGTTAGGAAAATTAACTTTTTTACTTAGATTTTTTAATTATTTAATTCAGTCAAAAATTATGACACAATTTTTTTATCTTTCTTTCAGCATTTTGCACGTTTTCTTAGCCATGCAGAAACTAAAATGCTTTATTTTTAAAACAAGTTGAAAAATTAAGAAATAGTTTTATTTTTGTAAATGATATTTCACTCAACAAGATAAAAAAATCGCTAAAATTGTTCAAAACGTAAGTCTAAGCGTTTTAGTAGGTATGTTTTTAGCCAGAAACAGAACTATTTTGAAAAATCAATAGCAAAAAAATTTTTCAAATTAGGCCAAAACTAGTGTAATTTTTACATTTTTAGAGTATTTCAACACGTTTTTTAATTTTTGCTAAAATAACTGATTGAAAAATTACCAAATTACATTGAAATTGATATCATTTTAGCGTATTCGCTCGATTTAGTTCGTTTTTAAACCAGAGACTCATTTATTTTACAGGATATTGTCAAAACATGCTTAAAAACAACGAAAATAAATCTAAATTGATGCTCTTTTGTTTATTTCATTTGATTTAGCTTTTTTTTAAAACGTTTATCAAAAAAATAGGGCGAAAAGTACAAAATATGGTCGAAAATAGTGTTACTTGCAGTTTTGTTAAAACAAACCAAAAAATATCAAATTATTTTTGCCTCTATCAAGTGTGTTAGCATGTTTTTTAAGTAATTGGGTGATTGTAAATGATGTGGTGTCAAATTTAAAATTTAATTTGGCAACCTTGACTTTCAAATTAAAACGGCAAACTTTTATAGGTAATCGTCATTCATTTGCGACGAGCGACTGCTGATCTAACCGCTACTTAAAACATTCTAATATAACAAATTTAGAAGTATTACCACTAATTCAGTGTTGCCAATAGATTTTTAGTCACCCGGTATTTCGCAAAATTTAATTGAAAACTAGCCAAAAAATTATAAAATTAGACTAAATGAAATAGCGTTACCTATTTTTGAATTTTTTGAGCATTTAAGCACGTTTTTGAGCAGATTTGCGAGATTTATGTGAAAAAAAATGTGAATCTTCGACAGTATTAAACAAAATGAAATCATATAATCTCGTAAATAAGTGTAAATCTGGTAACTTTTTAGCTCAGATCTGGTGAATTTAATAGTTTTG